AAGTGGGAGGACCTGGCAGTGGCCTCAGAGCTGCCCCCCACCCTCACCCCAGCCCCCTCAGGGGCCTTCCTAACTCAGAAATCCAGCTTCAGAATTCCTGGAAGGTGGGACCGTCACTGGTGCTGCTCCCTGGAGGGTCCAGGTCCCTTTCCATTTCAAATGACAGAAACTCCACCTCAGATCCACTAAGCTAAGCAGAGGATTGTCGGCTCCTGTAACTGAAGAGTCCAGTTTTCCTGCTGGGGTGTGGTTTCAGGCCTTACAGCATCCAGGGGCTCAACTAGGTCATCAGGACTTGGTTTCCCTTCCTTCGTGGTGGCATCATTTTCTGGCTCCGTGAGGCTACCCCTGGCAGAGTCAGCTTATCTTGGCCTCACTACCAGCAGGACCAGTGCCAGGAAGAGGCCACCTGATCCTGGGGAACTGCCCGGGCCCCACACTGAAGGCAGCAGCTGGACAGGGTGACCAGTGGTCCCAGTCAGCTGGGGACTGGAGGTGGCAGGGGAGAGTTAGGTCCCAGCGTGGCCTTTCAGTGCTAAAACTGGGGCAGTCCTGGGTAAACTGGGAGGGCGGTCCCTTAGCCTGCAGTGATGCCTGCTTCTAGTTTCTTCCCTCGTTTCTGCCAGCCTCTGCTACCCTCCTCCTCCTCTTTATTCACCTGTTCTTGGCTCTAATGCACGAACACCCTGAGTTTCCTTTTGCCAGCCGTTCCCCTCTCAGGCTTCAGTGGAGAAGCGCTTTTGGTTCTGCTGCTGAGGGACCTGGGGCCAGAGCTGATCTTCCTGTGTCTGTGCTGTTTCATCCTCGCAGAGGCATCGTCTGCTCCCTTAATAAAGCCGTGTCAGAGGCGCGCCTGTGCAGAGCACCTGCTCCTGAGAGGACGGCCCCTCCCACCGCTCCCTCACCCCTCCCTCCAAAACTGCTCCTCCCTCTACTCCCTCGCTGGGTGAGGAGAGAGGGCCACCTCCCACCAGGTCCCAGAGCCTGAAAACTGAGAACCAGGTGGGACCTCGTCCTTCCCTGCAGCACTCCCCACAGATGGTTGGTCAGTAGGTCATCCAGTCCTGCTGGTCCCTTCTTCTCAGCCTCTGCTGGATCAGTCCCCGTGTCGTTCCCCTGCTGTTGCCCTCATTCACCAATCACTTTCCCGGCTCTCCAGGCCCCATCCTCCCTGCCACCGCCAGAGAGGCCTTTCCAAAACATCAGGATGACATCCATCCAAGGCCCTTCCAGAATGCCCAAACTTTCTCCCTGCATGCGCAGGCACGTTTGCACATGCTCTCCTGGCTCAAACGTCCTGAGCAGAGCAGGGGTGGCAAGTGTCCGGCCCTTGTATGGCCCTTCTCTGCTCTGATGCTATGACAGCACTGCTGGCTGATCACAGCGTGCAGTGCAGGAAGCTGTGTGCCTTCTCCTCTCATCCTTCCAACCGCCCGCCCCACTGGGTCAGAGTGGGCACCAAGGCCGTATTCATCTTCCATGCTGCTTCTAACATCTTCCTTCTCTGGCTAATCCCTAAGTTGTCCTTTAGGTCTCAGCTCAGGAGGCTCCATGTCACCTCTTCTAGGAAGTCTTCCCTGACTTGCCATTCCTCTTAATCTGCTTTCGGTCACATCCTGTATATATTATGTATCTGTATCTCAGAACACTTCTTATGCTGCATTTTAATAATGTACCTACTTGTCACACTAGAACGTAAAGGTTTTGTAGATTGGTGCTATGCCTTAGTAATCTTTGTATTCCCACGACTCAGCATAGAGCCTGGTATACAACAGATGCTCAGAGATCTTTGTTGTATACATGAATGAATGAACGAATGAATAACCTGGTGGGACCAGTTGTTTCGAAGGTGAGAGAATCAAAATTCATTATGCCTCTTTAAAAAAGAAAGTAGATATGCTTCTCCCTCTCCTGTGGCCACAAGAGGAGGTCACGCTTCTCAAAGACTCGTCTTAGAGATGGAGTTGAACCTGTTGGTTTTTTCTTTTTGAGGAAGACTGGCCCTGAGCTAACATCCATGCCCATCTTCCTCTACTTTATATGTGGGACCCCTGCCACAGCATGGCTTGCCAAGCGGTATGTAGGTCTGCACCTGGGATCCAAACCGGCAAACCTCAGGCCGCCAAAGCAGAATGTGCAAACTTAACCACTGGGCCAGCACCTGAACTTGTTGTTTTTACTCATGCGGCTGGAGAGCAGGCAGTGGCCTCGGCTCCCTGGAGGAGTGGGGTGAGGTTTGTGTCTTACATGCCCTCACCTTTCACCATCCAAAGGCCCAGGCCACCCCTGCTTCTTCAGCTCATTCTCCCAGGTCCTAAATGTTTTCTGACTTCTCCGTGTGTGTGTGTGCCCCTGAATATGAGTGTGTATGTGTGTGTGTGTGTGTATGCTTGTGTATGAGCCGCCTGCGGTTACATGTAGGACCTTGTCTGTTATATAAGTGCAGGTACCTTTAGCGGTGGATGATAGTAATTCCCCTCAGCTTTTCTGGGGCCCGAGGGCTTGGTCTCACATTGGGAAGGAGCCTTTGTGTGAACTCCAGCTGCTCTTGGCCTGATCTTTGCTTCTTAGGACCCCTTGGTTCACGTTTCTCTTTTTATTTCAAACATCTAGTTGGAGATTGAGAATTCCAGCTCAGAAAGAGGTTATTTTCTAGAAGAAGGCCAGAAGATAGGGGTGGTCAGCCGCTTGAGCGTATGTTGTGATGTCACACTTTTGCCTGGGTCCTCCGGGAGCCACGGGATGGTCTTTGCCTTTGCTCCAGGCCAGATTTCTGCTATCCCCTTGGACGTGCCCCTTGGCCTGCAGGGCTGCTGTCAGGAGGGCTCTAGAGAGGCCCTCCTTGCAGAGAAATGGGCTGCAAGGAGCAGAGCCCCTGGAGGCAGTGGGGATGCTGCAGGGACATGGTGATGCTGGGAGACACAGTGACACTAGGGGATGTGGTGACATTGAGGACATGGTGATGCTAGGGGGACATGGTGGCTCCAGAGGACACAGTGACCCTTCCTTCCCCTCTCGGTCCCCGAGTGAAGGCCAAGAGGGATGCTCATTGTCACAAGTGAAAATGAAAATCAAGTAGGAAGAAAAGTCAGTCCTTCGGGAAGGCAGGCCCGAGTCACAGCCTATGGCAGCCGCAGGGATGTTAGCGGGAGGGCTAAGAAAGCGGCTTACTGCGATTAGTTGGGAGGGAGGAATCTGAAGAAGCTAATTATAAAGTTTGTGCCAGAGATGAGAGAGGATTACAAGGCCTTTTTGTGCACTGAGATTTTGAAAATGGGAGGAGAGTTCCTTCTTCTAAAATGAATGGAGATAAATAGAGAGACCAGGTAAGAAAGGGCGATGTGGCCCTGGCTGAACCATCAGGAGGGGTTAACAGGAGGCTGGAAGACCATGGTTACCTGCAGTGTGTACATTAACATGGGTGCTGCTATGGTCTGAACCACATGTGAGCGGGGAAGACTCCTCACCTGATTGCAATTGCTCAAATGTCAGCTTACTGTCAGGCCCGGGCTCTGTGAAATAGTGGTGTTATTCATCACTACGTATTTCCCGGGCCCCTGCTCTGTGCCAAGCATGGGGCTGGGCATCCTGGGGAGTACAGGTTCTGCCTCCCAGGCCTTGGAGTAGTTGGCCAGAAAGGATACAGGCCTGGGATGTGGGAAATGTCAGGGGAGATGCATGAAAATGGGGGTTGCCCTGGACTAGGCGGCTGGGGAAGTCCCCACAAAAGAGGGAAGCCAAGGCAGGATGCAGAAGGATGGGGACCACCATGCAGGGAGAGCCTCCGAGTCAGGCAACCTGATGGGAGTGGAGAATTCCTGCAGAAAACAGCAGGAGTTGAGGTTCGAGGGGGCGGCCAGGAGCAAGCTTGAGAGGCCCTTGAATTGTGGCATAAAGGGCCTGCGCTCTTCTGCAGACACTGAGAATGATGTAAAGGGCTTGGAGCAAAGGAAATGTCCGGGTGAAAATGGTTTCAGGTCAACTTGGCCGGTGCATAGAACGGAGCGTCAGGCAGTGACCTGGACAGGGAGAGCCTGTGAGACGCTTTTACAAGAATCCTGGGTGAGGCAACAGGGCTCCCCCAAGGTGGGAATAGAAATGAACAGTTGGAGGAACAGCCTTGACCCTACCACGGCTAGCATGAGCCCCCAGTTTCCAATGTCAGTGTCAGTGGGCTGGGGCACTCACCCACAGGATTCATCACACATCTTCCAAAGACTTTGGAGGGATGCGAGCAGAAGCATTCTTTTTATATTAAAGCAAACAGCACTACATAATGAGAAAACATGGCATGGAGTGGCGACATCCTCTCTGAGTTACAACTCTCCTTGTCTGCACTCCCATCCCTGAGGGGCTTGGGACGAAAGGATTCTGCTCTGGCCCTCTCATCTGCCAGCTGGAGGATGTAAGTCCAGAGAGCTGGGAACCCCGGGGGTCACACATGCGACTTTGAACTGAAAGTGGGCAAGGTATCCAGGTCTCCTGATGGCTTGTGCGGCTTGTGCGATGTTCTTAATGTCTGCGTTACGTGGTCTCTATTTACCCACCTCTTTAGGAGATAAACTCTAAAATAGTCAAAGGAGCTCAAAGTGGTAGAAGAGGGTAAGAGAAATGTCCAGAGGAAGGAAAGGAACAAAGACTTACTGATACTTGCTCTGTGTCAGGTGCTCCATATGGGTAGCTCACTTACTCATCATAGCCACTGCGCAGGGTGAAGCTGGCTGCATTTTACAGGTGGGTCCATCAAACACAGATTACATCATTAACCTCCTGGGTCATACAGGAAGTAAGTGGAGGCCGGTGGGATTTGAACTCAGATACGTTAGATGCCAAACCTTTGGCCTTCCTCCTATTCCATCAAAATGGATTAACCTGCCTCTACGTAGCTGAGTGGAGAAAATGTGGGGAGGGCAGGAAGCACCCCTATAACAAACAGGAGGGAGAAACGCAACATCCCACGGGCTGTTCTCTGACTCTGCTCCTCCTTTGATCCCTTTCAGCTGCCTGGGCCTCCACACCATGAACGGCACCCCGAAGGATGCCCAGGCCCCGAGCCACCGTGGGTGCCTCCTGCCTTCTGTGGCCCGAACCCCCTCTGTCACCCAGATCACACCAGCCAAGAAGATAACCTTCCTCAAGCGAGGGGACCCGCGGTTTGCTGGGGTTCGCCTGGCTGTTCACCAGCGCAACTTCAAGAGCTTCGGCTCTCTGATGGATGAACTTTCTCAGCGCGTGCCTCTCTCCTTTGGAGTGCGCTCTGTCACCACACCCCGGGGCCTGCACGGCCTCAGTGCCCTGGAGCAACTGGAGGACGGTGGCTGCTACCTCTGCTCTGATAAAAAGCCCCCCAAGACTCCTAATGGGCCGGGCCAACCACAGGGGAGAAGCCCTTCTCAGCAGTCGCAGGATTTCGAAGGCCGTTGTGAGGTACCAGGAACGTCTTCTTCCTGCAGGGGTCTCAAGGCCCCAAGGAGGATAATACTGGTTAAGAATGGGGACCCTAGAGTCCAGCAGACAGTAGTTCTCAGCCACAGAAATACGAGGAACCTGATGGCTTTTCTCAGCAAAGCATCCAGTCTTCTGCACTTTCCCGTGAAGCAGGTGTACACAACCAATGGGAAAAAGGTAGGCTGTTGGGGTTTGATCTTTCCTTAAAAAAGTTCCCTGGACCTGAGATCGGCATAGTTCGGTGGAATGGAGAGGTTCTTCTTTAAAAAGAGGTGCTGAATGCACTGCTACCAATTAGAGGTGAATAGAGTGGGGACAGTCAGTCAGTCAATCAAACAAGCCATTGTGATTCATGTTTTTAGCTACCATTTAGCAAGCACTTAGTAAGTGCCAGACGCTGGGCCTCGCACATTTTCATTATGTTCTTCTCCAATCCTCTTAATAACCTATCTTGGTGAGAGTTCAGTGCAGGAAACAGAAACTGCTCGCAGTACCTTAGGCAGAAAGCAGTTTAATACAGGGCATTAGGGGGCCTCCAAATCTTTAGAAAGCTGGGGGAATGGCTCCCAGCATCCTTCAGAAAGCTATACTTCTGCTCAAAGCTGCTGTGATGATTGTAGTCAAGAACACTTCCATAGTGGCATCCAAGCTTGTAAAGCTGGGAACAGGAAACTGCCGCAGCTGCATCTTGACCCCCAGGAACAGTGGGGTGCTGGGTCTCCCACTGCTGCCTGAGCCACCGTTGCCTCCTGACACCTACACACTTGCTTCGCAGCAACAACGGCCAGAAGCAAGAGAAGGTGGTGTCTGCCTCACTTGCCTTCCCAGTCTTGAGGAAGTGCATCTAATTGATGGAGAACCCAATCTGCATCCAGCCCTAACTGGAAAGAAGCCTCGTGAATGTAATTTTTGCCTTCCTAGGTTCTGCAGAACATGAATGTACATCCTAGGAGGGCAGGATGGAGGATGGGGCCGGGTGATCTAAGCCATAGTCTCCCCGTAATCTAATCCTATGGCGGTTTAACACCTATATACACCATTCTACCAATACTTAAATTTACAAACAGCAGCTGCAGCAGTGTGTGCCCACCGAATAACGTAGCTATCCCTCCTACCATCAGAACATATTTACCTGCTCCCCCAAAGTCGCGCTAGTACCATCCGTCTTCTAGTTCAGTTGCAATTCCACCTTTATAGCCTCTGTCTTAAGATTTAACTGTCAGGTCCACGACCACTAAAATACCTTGTAAAAGTAGCAGAGGACAGCGAGGGCAGAGCATAGGAAACTGGTTCATTTATACGCCTAGCAGAGCTGTGAGGAAAATTAGGCTGTCCACTTCAAGGCCATTGTTGGTTATTAGTTTCCTCCTACAGTCCATTCCGTGTTCCCTCTGCCAGCACCTCAGCTGATGTGGTTATAGACCTGATAGGGTGACTGGGCATTTCTGCCATCTAAATTATGGTGCATTTACTGTGTGCTAGCATGTGCTACATCATTCCTCCAGCCTCTGAGCACTTGGAGGTCCTTCTTGAGCATCTGTGGTCGTGTGTGCACTTTTATCACTGAACATGGCAGCCAAAGAAAAACCCAAGGAGTTCCCTGGGCAACAGACGACTTCCTACCTGACCCCATTGCATAACAGCAGCCCTATTCCCCCTTGATCATCAGAATCAATCACTCCAACCCACACAAAATCCCCCTTGTTGCCTGTTTGTTCATTGTCACAAGGAGCCCCATGTGGCCAGGTGACTGTCTCAACCTTCAGCTCCACTGACCCACTGTTGTGTCTTGTGGTGGGAACATTTTCCCTAGGATCCTGAGACCTCCAAACCAGCAGAGCCCAAAGTTGCTAGGGTGGGAAGCAAAATGTTTGCAGCTATGTCATAGGTGTAATAGTGAGAGGAGCCACTCTCATTTTCACCCCTTAATTTCCAGGTATCTGTTGTTTATGGAGAAACAGCACCAAATATTGGTTGCCAGTTCAGAGCACATATTACATCCTGTAAGACAACACCTCAGCATCACCAAGTGATGCCTTCCAGGTCCTTTGGCTATTCTTGAACTGAGAGTTTAGACTTTGAGCTTGCCATTTTCTTGAAGTCAGAGAAGCCAGCCTAATCCATAGTCCTTGCTGTTCTCATTCTCATTTTAAGAGTCTATCATGGCAGCTAGTGATAGTCAAAGCCCTGCACTCAGTAAGCACTACATTCTACTATCAGGGATGATCATTCAAGAACCTGTTTTATCTTTCCGCCATGGGCTACCAGTGTCCCATTGTAACCAGGTTATCTCTGCCTTCAAACCCAACCAGCTTAGATAATTAATCCCAGATTCCCATCCGTGACGGTCTATTGCCTGCAAGCACCTTTGATACTGTACACTGTATCAGTCATAATTCAGTACAGGAAATAAGAACCTCTCCAGGTGTCTCCAGCATGAAGGAATTATACACAGAGAGTTTCACACTTAAAGATTCATTGAAAGGAGGAGCATAGGCTGAGTTCCCAGAAATGATTCCTGGAACATCACAGAATTAACCTGTCTGGGTAGACACCTCTAGCGCAATCAAGAAAGTGGGTTGTTGGGGGGACGTCACTGGGATGATGGAGTTCAGTATCGCCCCACCATTGCTGTGATCCAGAATGAGGAAGGTGATGTACCACTACTGCCTGCTGATATCCAGGAAGTTGGTGACTGGGTACTGGAACAATGAAGTGGCTTTTGCCATCGCAGCTGCACCTGCACCTTTTTTTTGCTTATGGCAACAGTAAAAGCAAAAGGAAGAGGGCCTCTGCCTCACTGTCATTTTCCACATCTTGTGCAGGTGCATCTAATTGGTGGAAACCACTTCACGGTTAGAACTCTAGCTGCAAGGGAGTCCAGGGAATGTGTTTAGAGCTTTCTAAGCTCTGCAGCACTGGAAAGCACACCAGAAAGAGAGTAGAATAGAGGTTGACTAATCTAGGGCATAGCATCCACCACACAAACTCATGGGGCAGTTAATATTACGCCTCTGTATAGATAAGAAAACCGAGGCACAGAGGTTAAGTAATTTGCTTCTAGTTACATGGTTGGCAAATGATAGAGCCAGCAATAATGATTTCAGAATCATAATGCAAGAATACTTCTAAATGATGGTGCATTTACATGTATTAGCATGTACTGCAGGCAGAATACACAGACAAATAAGACTAGGCCCCTACCTCCGATTAGCAAGTTTAGTGGGTGTGGTGAGAGGGAAAGAGTAGGCACAAAATAAGTTAATCGGAGAAAAGAATATTAGTATGTTTTCATTTGGACTTACTGCAGAGCTATTAGAGTTTCTGTAAACGGAAGGATCTCCTTGCTCTCCAGGACAGGCCATGTCACATGTCACGATTATCAGTTCACAGGTCCTCGCCTGGATGGACACTCTCAATAATGCTCTTTTTTTCATAGATCCTAGACCTCTACCTCTTTCTAGGATGGGAGTGTCACGTAGCCCTCACTTCTTTCTTCTTCCTTGGAAAAGTCTGATTTCCTAGAAGCATGGCTACATCTATAAACTGATAGACTTTGGCCCTGTCTGTACTTTTGCTATGGACTGGAAATCTGATCAAACAGAAATGTAGCTAGGAGTTTCAAATGAACTTCTAATTAACTGGATTGAAAGATTTGGTGTACAGCAAACAATATTATTTTGTGGCGAGAAGATGCAAGAGTTCTCTCTTTTTTTCATTTCCTTGTTCATGAACATACCCACCTCATTGAGAAAATGAAAAAGAACAGATTCAGCACTTTAAAGATGGAACTAAATCCCCCAAGACTGCCAGTTACAATGCGATGCTAGAAATAGTGCAAACCCTCAGTATGCAGCGTCCTCGGGGCCGGGTGAGAGTTCCCTAAGAGCAGGACCCTCTTTCCTGGAATGCCATCCAGCACTGATGCTCCTCCTCATCTCCCACCAGTCCTGCTGCTGGGAGTGGAGGTGGCTGCAGAGAGGATGACAGGAGAATCGGGGCAGGACCCAGAGACCCATTGGAGGAGTCTGAGAGGGAAGGGCCACCTGTGGAGAGAATGGTGCCATGGCCTTCTCCACTCCACTAGGGACAGGAGCAGAGGCGATGGCCTCAGACTGCACTGGAAAATAGAGATCAGACCCAAGGGAGGGCTCTGTCTGGGGAAAGGGCCAGATGGTGAATCAGGTCTCCATATGCAAGCTGGAGAACTTTCGATTCTGGTTGCTTTAAAAAATACATATTCTGAAGGGTGCAAATGTGGACAAGGAAGCAGATCAAAGGCTTCTGGAAGTCTTTTCCACCGGAGGCATCCAGAATAACCTCTAAACCTTAGGCCTCAGACCAGGTAGAGGGAGGAATGTAGGTAGAGAGGAAGATCATGGTGGTGGGACCTCAGCCCCCAGCCTGTTAGGGAGGTGTTATGGCGAGTGGATGGGATCCTTCCCTTGGATCAGAAATCTGGGGTGAGATGTGCAAACATCATGAAAGGGCCGCAGTGAGTGGATCCTTCCTCTGTCTGTGTCTGCCTGGGCAGAAGGGGGCTCTGCAGACCAGGCTTCCTGACTCAACACCCTCCTCCTTCAGGTGGATTCACTGAGGGGTCTGCTATGCAGCTCCTCAGTGCTGGTGTGTGCCGGCCACGAGTCCTTCAGACCTCTGGCAATGGAAGATGCCAGAAGAAATGGGACTGAAACTTTACCTGGGCAGACATCAAGGAACAAAAATGGTGAGTTGGTTTGGGGGTTTCCCCAATCTTATTTACTCTGGATAGTGGTTCAGCAGGGCTGGGCAGACACCCTCTATGGATAATTTAGGAAACCTGTCTTGGCCCCAATTCATGGGCATCCCAGTTGTTTTGGGTCTCTCTTGCATATTCCTCCTTCTTCTCATCGCCACGGACCTTAACTAGGTTGAACATTTGACTGGGGCATGAGAGAGGGGAGTCTGCTATTTAAAGAGAACAGGAATTAGGAGATCTTGAACTCTAAGTTTCTAGGATCTAAAATAAGCTTTAGTAAGGACCATGGTGGGCATGCCTTTATGGAGGCAATGAAGCATGAATATGTGGCATTTGCATCTTTCAAGAGTCATGACTCTCTTAGGCAACAATGGGGGCCGAACCGACTAAAACTAATGATAGTCATCCATTCATCAATCTACACATCCAACCATATATCCATCCAAAAAGCCTACCATGTACCAGGATCTAGGCTTTGTTCTTTAAAAAAACATATTATTTTAAAAACACAGCTAACAATTGCAGAATAAATTTTCAGCAAAATTATTGGAATGACAATGGGCAAATTTTGGTGAATAAATGAAACATTATCCTTTATGAAAAGCTGTTGAGAAATGACAATGATGGTTTCGGTGATTGCTGTGCACCAGGTACTGGAAGGACAAAGACCTATTAGCCATAGCCCCCAGGCTCATTTGGTGCTTATGCCAGGACAGAGCTTGGCAAAACCTTCTCTCTCAAGGGGAGTTTGTTCCTTTGCTGGCCGTAGGCTCAGCCTCCACTAGCCCGTTCTTCTTCCCAAGCATTAGCTCAGGAGATGGAATGAGAGAGTGCTAGGGGCTTCCTTCTTTCCTGGGGCACTTCTTTCTATCCCCAGTGGCCCCTTCTTCTCTTTTTCATGGCTGGGGTACAGGCTTGACTATCAGAACCTGCAATTGTGTGTCCAGGTCCTTCCTTGCAGTCATTTATCAACCCCAAAGCTTGATAAGTGTTAGGATGATAAATCACCCCTAATAATTGCAAAGCATTTTACAGTTTACAATCAGGTACATATGCAGCAGCTTATTGATTTTGCTGCCTGTGCTGGGGGTCAGTGGGAGCAGGGCTGGGGATTAGCTCTGCCCACTGCTGTTCTGCCTGCCAACCCTGCTGTCCTTCCAGAACCTACTTTGTGCTACCAAGTCCGCAGGAAATTTTATATACATTGCCTTGCATCGTCAAAACAAACCTACCAAATAGATATCGTTATTCTTATTTTATAGCTCAGAGAAGGGGCTCTGCCAAAAGCTACAGAGCTAGGAAGTGGCAGGGTTGAGACTGCATTCAGACTTCAAATTCAGCTCACTAGGCTGTGCTGGTTCACAGGCTATGGACTGTGCATACTCATTCTAACATGGTTTCTGCCCTTACTGCATGGTTTTGGAGGGCGGCAGGGTGTTTAGTTGGCGAAAGGCTCGTGACCAGCCTTTCTTCTCTTGAAGCGTCCCCGGTAGCTCACCGTCTTTTCCTCCTGTCTCTTACTCTTCACCGGGCGCCAGGGAGCTGGGGGCCAAAGGCCAAGCAGAGCGTGATCCACTCGAGGGCCAGGTCGGGCAGCAGACGGTTTTCCTTGCTGTCGGAGAAGTCTGGTCTCAGCGACCCCCCCGTGTCCCTGCATCATGCCTGGATGGGCCTTGCCCCCGACAGACACCCTCAGGACACGCCTGCCCAGCTGGGCCCGTTGGTGGCCGGTGACGACGTGGAGAAGAAAGTCCGCATGAACGAGGATGGCAGCCTGTCTGTGGAGATGAAAGTGCGCTTCCACCTGCTCGGGGAGGACATGCTCCAGTGGTCCAGGAGGGTCGGGAGGGCCAGTCCCCTCACGGCAGCCGGTGGGGAGGGCCCTGTCCTGGGGGAGGTGGACTCCCTTCACCGCATGTGGGAGGGCCACCCTGGGGGGTGCTCAGAGCCTGGGGCACGGCCACTGGGGCCCTGCAAGACAGGATGCAAGGAAACCTCTGACCGAGGCCGGTGGCAGCCGGGGTCCAGATATGAGATCTGGACGAACCCCCTGTACGCCTCCCAGGGAGAGAGGACAGCCTCTCGGAGGAGGACCAGGCTGACCCCGCACTCCCACTCCAGGAGCCCCTGGAGCCAAGGGGTCACCGGCAGGAAGAGAAGCAGCAAGGACAGCTTCAGCCCTGCCTCTAGTGACAGACACCCTGAAGACTCTGAGCCAAATTCCTCTTGCTGCTCCAGCTCCCTGGAGGGCAGCAAGGGCAGCTGTGGCCTGCATCCGGCCTCTGGGGCTGCCTCCCCGAGAGGAGCAGGGCAGGGAGCCGGCAGCAGGCCCTGGGCTGCAGGGGGCCCAGGCCAGGGAGCCAGCCCGGGGCCAGAGGGAGCAGGCCCGGGCAGCAGGGCCCGGGGTGCGGCAGGGGCTCTTTCGGACTCTTCAGCAAGTTCAGGGCCTCATGAGGAGTCCAGTGAGAAGGATGAGTGGCCCCAGGGCCACCCAAGCAAGATGAAGGCTGTGACTTCCCTGCAAAAGGCCACCCCGGGGGGAGGCCCCCATTCGCCCACCGTGAGTCCATCGTCTCTAAGGAATGAGGACCCACAGGCAGAGGAGTGTGGACAGAGCACAGGGCACCGTCAGGCCAGGGCTGGATCTGGGATGAGGTTGTCCCCGGCTCTGGGCCTTCCTGGCTCTGGGGATGCTGTAGGAGGCTGTTCCCCACCTTCCTCTTGTATCTCAGCCCCAGGAGGGAGAAGAAAGCAGGAGAGCAGAGCCAGGGCTGTGTCCTCACCCAGCATTTCTGGCCTCAGTGAAGGTGCCCAGAGAGGCCGCCCCAGGCAGCGTGGCAACCAGAGGGCCACCCACTGCCCGCTCGACTCACCTGTGTCCAGACAGGTGCTGGGGCCTCCCAGCGGAGGCAGGGCCTGTCCAGCTGGCCCAACACCACACCTTTCTGAAAGCGCATCCAGTGCCAGGAATCAGGCCTCCTGGGACCCAGGGCCACCCCCCTCTGCCTCTTTTCATTCCCAGGACGCACGAGGGATCAGCAGTGCCCCCATTACCCCTGTGAGCAACTCTGACTGTACTTCCAATTTCTACCCCCCATACTCTCCCTCTGCTGAGACGGAAGGGGACCCTGAATTCAGGGCACATTCACCAGCTCCCATACCTTCCAACATATCCGACTCTTTGAGCTCCCGAGCTGATGGCCTGGGTGAAAAGGCAGGGGGTGATGTCCCCAAGCCTTCCTGGCCTTTGGTTCTGCCAGTCCAACAGCCTGAGGGAAGGAAGCCAGGAGCCCACCGAGGTGGCTGCTGCTCTCATATCGGCACATCCCCGGTGCCTGGGACCCCTGGTGGTAAGACACAGGCCCTGCAGGGCTCCCAACCACGGGGCCACTGCTTGGTGTGCAGCAGGTACTGTCCCACTCCCCCGAGGGCCCAGCCCTCTGTCAAGAAACACCCCCCACACAGCAGCAGCCACAGCGATGGAGACCGCAGTGCTGACTGGGCGCCGGGTGGTGATCAGCGGGGGGAGGAAAAGCTTGACTCACGCCACCCACGGCCTCCCAGCTCTCAGTCGGGGGCCATGAGAAGGGGCAGCCCCAGCCTAGGTTCCAGGCCTGGGAGAATGTTCCATGGGAAGGCTGCCGGTGGAGGGGAAAGCCTGGAGGAGCATGAGGAAGGCAGCGGCACGATGCCAGGCGCTCTGCCCCGAGTCTCACCGGAAGCCGTGGTCCGCGAGTGGCTGAGCAACATCCCAGAGGAACCCCTGCCCATGAAATATGAAATGGTAGAGGAGAGCACGGATGTGGCTGGGGACTGCTTGGAAGGTTCCATGGAGGACCCTGTTGACAAACATTCCCCAGAAGGCCTGGAAGGATCAACTCAGGCCGGACAAGCACTCCTGGAAGAGGCTGCCAGTGAGAAAGCAGAACCAGATGGATCCCCTCCAGCGACTGGAGATGCTGGTCCTGAGTCAGGAGAGGGTCTTTCTGGCAGTGGAGTTTCAGAAGTCACCAAAGAGGCTGGAGCAGGCAAAGGAGTGGCTGTGGACTGTGGTGCAGGCCAGTGTATGCTTCCCCGCAGGGTCTCTGCCTCCATCCAGATCATGAAGGCGCTGATGGGCTCCAAGCAGGGCCGGCCCAGCAGCCTGCCCGAAGTGTCCAGCACGGTGGGCAGGAGGCGCAGCCACTCCGCCCAGGCCCTCATCACCTGTCTTGCCAGTCTCCACTTCTTTGATGACGACCTTGGGTCTCCCGCGGGCAAAGTGAGGTTCATAGACTCTCCACGGTACCAGGAGCTCCTGAGCACCTTCCGGGCCCTGTGCCCTGGGTGTGGCCTCCGGCGAGGCGAGCTGGACTCAGGCCTCCAGGAGCTCGGCTGGTGCCAGGTTCTGCCGGGCCTCAGGTCCCAGGCCGTGACTGAGGACTTCACGCCAACGTCATCGTCTGGCGTGGATGTCGGCAGTGGCTCTGGAGGCTCAGGGGAGGGCAGTGGACCTGGTGCCGTGGACTGCACCCTGGTTCCTGAGAGGATGGAGCTGCCCTTGAAGATCCCCTCTGAGGATTCCAGGACCCCAGAGAACCCAGAGGATCTGGGAAACCAACAGCTGAGTGGTTCCGAGGCCTCCTCAAACTCCCAAGCATTGGCTTGTGCCGCCAGGAAGGAAGGGGCAGAAAGAAGCAGCGTGGAGCAGACAGTGGGCAGTGACCTGGACCAAGCAGTTGAAAGCACCATGCAAGAAGAGGGAGTGCCATCAGAACAGGTAAAAGAAGAAGAAGAAAGAGCAGAACTGCAACAAGAGGGTGTCGAAGGATTTCCAGAAGAGGCAAGAGTCACGGGACAAGAACTGTCAGGGGCTGGCTCTCAGGATGGGGAGCGGACACAGGAAGATAAGAGCTTGCAGGAAGAGGAAGCAGGAAGAGACCCTCCCTCTGCAGTACTGCACCCTCCAGAGAGGAGAGAGAAACCGACAGGGCCCCCTAGGAGCCTCAGAGAGAGGGACCCAAATGCCAGTGGGAGTCCAAGTGGCCCCATGGCTGAGCCTGGTTGGGAGAAGCTGCCCAGAGCAGCTGAGGCAGGCCCTGAGCAAAGCCAGGCCAAGTCCACCCAGGGGACTGGGGAGAAAGGCACTTCTACAGCCCGTAGAGCATCTCTGGATCCTGACGCCCTCTGGGTGTCCACGTTGTTGAGGAAGATGCAGAAGGCCTTCATGGCCCACCTTGCCAGTGCCACAGCTGAACTCCGAGCCCGATGGAGCCTGCAGAGCAATGACCTACTGGACCAGATGGTGGCCGAGCTGCAGCAGGACATTGGCCAGCGGCTCCAAAACAGCACTGAGAAAGAGCTCCTGAAGCTCCATAGCCGGGCCGGGGGGAAGGCGCCGGGACCGCACAGGGAAGCTGTCAGGCGGGAGACGTCCCTGCAGACAGAGCAGCGCAGGCATCGCCTCCAGGGCCTGCGCAACCTCTCAGCCTTCACCGAGCAGACCCGAAGCTGGGGGCCCCCCTCCCTGTCTCTTGAGGACATGTCGACCCTCAGTGGAGCCCCGGGGATCCGGCTGGGTGGGGAGGCCACTGGGGAGGAATTCTGCCCCTGCGAAGCCTGCATGAGGAAGAAAGTGGTTCCTACGTCCCCAAAGGACGTCACGGGGGTAGCCAGCGCACCTATCAAAGAGGCCTTTGACTTGCAGCAAATTCTGCAGAAGAAGAAAGGAGGATGTGCTAGTGGGAACACAGCAGAGACAGCCCCTGAGAAAAGAGGGTGGGAGCCACTTCAGAGGGACCCCTCGGGGACGGGGACTGTCCGGAGAGCTGATGGAGGCCTGGAGCTGGGCTCAGGCCAGAGCCCTGGGGCGGAGGGGCAGGAGGAGGGTGAGGGCAGCCAGACCCTCGGCAGAGATGAAGATCCCCCAGGGGGAAGAGAGGAGGCAGCTGCTCAGAAGGGAGAAGGGAAAACAGATTCCTGTGTAGGCAGCGACCCCGAGGGAGCTGGGTGGGAGGAGCAGGGCATGGATGAGAAGGGAGAAACCACGGAGGAGCGCTCTGGGGCTGAGGACTGTTCGGAGGGTGAAGCCTCAGGAGGAGGTGACAAAAGTCCAGGCCGACAGGATGATGGTGCCGAAACCGTGGAGGCCCAGGAAGCTGCAGGGCAGAGACAGCCAGAGTCAGGAGGAGGAAATCAAGGTGAGAAAGAAGGCAGCCCACCGGGTAGCCCGGGGCAGGGCCAGTCGGGTGAGGCTTCTGGAAACAGCAGCTCAGGCCAAGAGGGGAGGCCAACGCCACCCCCCACCCCAGGTGGGGACACCCCCTGCCGAAGATCCGGCCCAAAACCAGGCCTGTCCTCCTCCAGCACTGCATCTCTGGGAAACTGCTCTCAGCTCTCTCAGAACAGCTCTGAAGAAGAGCCTTCGAACGGAGACACGAGGAGCACTGAAGACGAGAGCAAGGGAGACCCTGGTCAAGAGAGAAAAGTCACAGGAGTGCATCCAGAAAGCTCCACCTCTGAGCAAGATGGGGTCCCCTCGGGCTCCAGGACTCCAGAGCCGGGGGCAGGCGGGGGCTCTGACTTAGAAATGGAGAAGGTAGGGAAAAGTCTCGCTTTCCCAGAGGTGAGCGTTGCAAACTTCCCCACGGACAGGACAGGCGGCTTTGGCCAAGACGACTTAGATTTCTAGAGATCGAGCTGCGAGATGGTCATGAGTCTACACCACTGTTTTTATTAATGTTTTGTCCACAAACCTACAAAGAGCGTGGGAAAGATCAAGGATTCACCAAGGACCCCGCCACAGCGCAGTGTCCCTGAGTTCCAAATTCTGGAGCTTCCAAGGGCCCGTCCCACGTGCTGTGTGAAGGAGGGTTATCTCACATCTGCCCTCTTATCGGAGGCCACCAGCCCCTCCACCTGCCTGCTGAGCCCCGCAGCAGGGAACTGACGGGAAATGTCCCTGGAGTGGTTTTGTTCGTGTGTTTGCTTTTTGCTAGCAAGTGTTTCTCTCGCTCTTTTGCCTATTGATCTCCTGTTATTTCTCTCCTTGGCCTCTCTTGGCACTCACCTCGTTCGACTTTGAAGTGCTTTTTTTCTTGTCTTGAGTATATTTGATGACTCTGCAGATGTGAATACTTGGGAGAACTGGATAAATTCAGGGTCATTGGACAGAATTTGTTCTCAGCCCAAAAGTCCAAATGCTTTTCCTTATATTTTTTTGTGATGGAAAAAGTTGGAAAGTGCAAAAAAGCAGGAAGAAGGAAAAGTATTCATCCATAATCCATCACTCAGAGATAACTTGGGTTGGCAATTTGATGTATTTCCTTCCCATCGTCTTTCTAACCATTTGAGAGTTAAGCTCATCCTTATGTATTTCTTCTCTTTTTTTTTAAAGATTGGCACCTGCGCTAACAACTTTTTGCCAATCCTCTTCTTTTTTTTTCTGCTTTTTCTTCCCCAAATCCCCCCAATACATAGTTGTATATTTTTAGTTGTGGGTCACTCTAGTTGTGGCATGTAGGATGCCGCCTCAGCGTGGCCTGATGAGCAGTGCCATGTCCACGCCCAGGATCCGAACCAGCAAAACCCTGGGCCACTGAAGCAGAGTGCACGAACTTAACCACTCGGCCACGGGGCCGGCCCCTATATACTTCTTTTTTAACTTAACAATATAAAAATTTCCCTCATTTGTCTCAAAATCTTCATAAACTCATTTTTAATTCCTGAATAGTGTTTTTAATACCTGGATAATATATTACGGGAATATGAAACACTTTACTTCACCATTTTCCTATTGTGGACCATGTAGATGATTTCCACTATTTTTTTCTTTAAACCTTTTTCCCCTGAACTGCAGATGATTTCTTAGGAGAGATTCCCAGGCAAGGAATTCCTGGGTCAAAGGATATGGACTTTTTAAAGGCTCTTCATATCTTGCTGCCAAATTGTTTTTCTAAAGATCCAAACTAATTTACATCACCTGGCCAGCCACACACTCATCAGTGTTTGAAACTGGCATCAAAAACAAGATGTCTTTTGCTAATTTTATGGGCAAAAAAAAGGACCTCACTTTAGATAAATTTGATTGCTAATGAGATCAAAGAGTTTTCCAGTTTTTTTGAAAAGCTATTTGCATAAAATATGTGTGTATGCCTTTTGCCCATGTTTCCACTGAGATCCTAGCTTCTTTTGATGAAGTGATTGACGTGAGTCCTTTATAATTTTTTAAAGATTTTATTTATCATTTTTGAGATTTAAAAACTGCCCTTTCTCTGCATCCTTCTACAGCAAGCCTCGGGCTGTGCTCTGTCTGGGTGGGGAGATCCTTGACGGGGCAGAACTTCTGGGTCTGTTTCTTCCCAGCGTTCTTGCTCATAGGAGACTATTTTGTGGTATTCAGAATTGTTAAAAAGGAAGCCTTTGCTACAAGGTCTGGTACTGTTCACTGACTGTTTGAATGTAAATGTTAATAATAAAAAATAAGTAATAATTAAAAATAAAGCAAATGCCAGGTTTAAGCTGTGTCTTCACCCTGGCGGTCATCTGTTCTGCTCTGTTTCTGAGTGCTGGAGCTGTTCTTAAAATTTGACATGGTTTTAAAATTTCCATGGAACTGATTCTTTCAAGTTTTTACATTAAAAGTTTACATGTAAATATGAACTGGTATCTTAGCCAGAAGCCCCCAGTGGGACAGATTGTATTGTGGGCTTCGTTCAGATATGGTGATATGCAGGGTTGTCCAGATTTTGTCACTATTAGTTGATATGGAACATTCACTGAGCACCTTTTCTGTGACTTGAGGTCCCCAGTCATCCCCTAAGAGATCTTCCAACCTCTTTGTTTCACAATCTGCTAACTCCTCAAATGACAGAGACAGCCATCCCAGGCACCTACTGACCCGCTGCTTCATTAAAATGGCCTTGTCCGTCTCTGGTCAAGAGAATGCAATGGAAAGAGCATGGGCTTTGAAGTTGGATGAATTCCCAGTGATAGCGCCTCAGTTTCATCACCTGTGAAATGGGCGAAGTAATGTTTTCCTCACTGCGTGTTGAGAAGTAGATAAGATAACATACGAAACTTCATTACACCTCTGTGGGGAAAATATCAACATTTTAATTAGAATGGCTACGTTTTGAATTCCTATTACGTGTCAGGGCCCATATTAGACCTATGTGATCCCATTTAATCTTCCCAGCATGTCTGTGAAGCAGCAAGTTGATACTGCTATCCGCACTGCACAAATGAAGCAGCCGCGGCAGAGAAGGCTTACACAAACCCGTCCGAACCCACACAGCTAGTTAGGAGCAAAGCCAGGATTTAAACTCAGGTATTTTGGACTCTAAAGTCCATGTCCTTTTCCATTGTATCGTATTTTCTTCACTTTGATTCAGGCCTCATCAATAAATAACTAAAGGTGATCAACACTTTGTTGAATCAATTTACTGCAAAATAGTTCAGACTTAGGAAAGTAAATTAGGTGGGTTTTTGCTCAACTGATTGCATTCTGTCCTTAGTAATGTTCTACTTATGTACAGATATGGGGAGCTGGCGATAACCTGGTTTTATAAAGCCGAGGGTTAAACTGAAAAGTTATCTACAGGATTCTCCTTTTAGTTACAAACTCACCTGTGTTAAGCCCTCAACTATTTCTGCCCTTTATATTAAAAAAAATTTACTGTTAATGGAAAACTCTGTGTTTTCTTCTGACTTGGAGATAAAGAACTTCAGGGCCGTCAGCTAAGGTGGGGATTTCTGTGTCTCCTCCCCCACCCCTTTTCTAGAGCAACCATATCACACAGCATTGCTCAGGCCTCGGAAATTCAGCACCTTTTGAAAATGTTGGCCTGCAGCCTCAGCCCGTCTCTGATTCAAAACTTGACTTGTTCGTCATTCAAAGTGTTGCCAGAGTCCATACAGCACCAGTGGCAATGCAAACGTTTTCACCAGCGGGGTTTCTCCTTGAAGTAAGTGGGAGAGGGAAGTGAGTGGCGGTAAGAACCCAAGCTCTTCTTTCCTGTCCTTTTGTCCAGCTGGTGGGCATCAGAGATTCCAGCTCCAATGGACCATCTTTCGGTGGCCCCATGCCCAGGTCCCAGGCCCGGAGATTCTGACATTATTGGTCTGAGTTAGGGCTCCAGCACAGTGACTTCGTCAAGCTCCCGGATGCACGCACTGCTCAGTCGAGGTGGCCCGTCGCTGATGTAGTCCAGCTTCCTTTTCCCAGGTGAGAAGGCTGAGACCCATCTTGAAAATGTGATTGCCTAAATCCCACAGCTGGAGAAGTGGCCCCGCTGAGACCAGATACCAGGTCTTCTTCCACATCCCACTTCACAGTCCCCGGTCCCAGAGCTGAGAGAGGCCCGGCAGAGGACGGCAACGAGCAGAAACCTGCTCCCTTTAATCCAGACCCGTGCCCCTCACCTGCCGCCCACCCACCTTCCGTTTCACCCCAGTTCCCTGGGTCTGAATCCATGCCTGAGACCCAGGCTTTGCCTCCACGACGGCCCTCCTAGGGTGTCCAGGGGAGAAGGAGGTTTGTCCGTAGTCTGTGAAGCCCTCCGTATAAATGCAGCTTGGAAGAGGACACGTCCTGAGAGCTTCCAAACAAATCATCAGCCAGGGTGCCTTCCTTCGCTTTAGTAAACATGTCAGCCACCCAGGGAGCTTCATTAACTGGACAGTCCACTCAGGAGACTGATGCGGTGGTTGAGGGCGGGCTGGGAATGTGCATTTCAACAAGCACCTAGAGGAAACCGACAGACCCCCTGCCCCCAGGGGCCTGCATTCTATGGTCCCACCATCTCACCAGGACTAGGGGTCCTCAGAGAGGCTGAGCACCTCTCACCAGCCCCGCCTGCCCCACCCCAGACACTTGCTCACTCACATATGTGCACAGATGCACACACACACACACAGTTAGCTTCCCTGCTCTCCCTCATTAGGTAGTCTCCCCAAGGGACAGTGTGGGTCAGTCACAGTCAATCTCTCTCCCTTCCTCTCTCCTGAGAGGCAATTAGGGTGGGTAGAGAGAAGTCTCCCTCCACCGGCCCTCCACCCACCCCCAGTGTCCAGAGGCACAGCCGGCACCCTGCCCCTGGCTGTCAATGGGACACACTGGGCAGTCATAGACCCGGGCTGCAAAGGCCCTCCAGCTCATGCCCTCTCCTAACCGAGCCACCCTAGGCAGCGACCCAAACTTGATTCATGTCTTCCGTTGGAACAAGCCAGGCGTGGCTTCCTGGAGTTATCCGCCCAGGGTCTCCAACCCTCCATCTGGCAACTCTTCCTGGCGTCTGAGCTGAGCCCCAGCATCCAGGGGGAGAAGGCGACTGCCTCTTGATGCTCCTCCTCTGGGCCAGGTCTCCACCCTCCCACTGCTTCCACATCCTCACTGGAGGGGCGTATCCCGACCCCGACCTGTGCACTCACTCCAGAGGTGCTTTCAGACCCCCACCTGTGCTTTCATTCCTTAGGGTTTACGGAACCCTACCTCGGTCCTCTTGGATTCTAAATTTTTAGACCTGGTTGGGTGTGTGATTATAGCTCAGGGTACCCAGGATGTTGATGAGAAGACTGATGGAAGCCACCAGAGGGCAGGAGAATGCCCTGCCCTTCACCCCTGCTTCCCTCCCTCCTCCACCTTCATCTATATCCCGCCTCCCATCTCAACTCACTGTCCCCCGCAACCTCTGGGCCCTAAAATCACTACTGGCTGTCTATTTTCCCAACATTGGGACATTTTTTGGTCATGATCTCCCTGGATGGTGGTGACCCACATTCCTAACGACGCTCCCCAATCTCCATAACAACTTCTCCTTCTCACGGCCCTCACTAGCCCAGCTCTGGCTCTTCATCCTTGGCCTCACTTTGGACCTGAAATGCTGGCATCTCCCCATCCTCAGCCCATTGCTCTGCTCTCCCTGGATGATTTCACCCACTCTTGCTGTTTCTGCTCCTACTTCAGGGCTTAGGACTTCCAGATGCAAGGTGTCAGCCCAGGCCTCTCCCTGAGATTCCAGCCACTACATTTTCCTCACAGCAACATACTCAAGCAGAACTTCTCCCACTTCCTCAGCCTGTTCCTCTTCCCACACGCTCAGACCTGGTACCACCAGCATCCATTCTAGACTCATCTCTCCCCGTACCAAGCCCATGGCATCACCATCCATCCACCCTAGACTCATCTCTCCTCCCACTACACCCATGGCACCACCACTATCCACCCTAGACTCATCTCTCCTCCCACTACACCCAAAGCACCACCACCATCCACCCTAGACTCATCTCTCCCACACTACACTCATAGCACCACCACCATCCACCCTAGACTCATCTCTCCTTCCACTACACCCAAAGCACTACCACCATCCACCCTAGTCTCATCTCTCCTCCCACTACACCCAAAGCACCACCACCATCCACCCTAGACTCATCTCTCCCACACTACACCCATAGCAC